ATTCTTGTAAATATTATAGATACATTTTTGATTCCGAAAAAAACTTGGGTATACTACAGTTTACATCTGACGTGCAGTTTCATATCGTGAAATCTCCGCCGTTCGCCGGCTCGATCCCGATTCGGGCGCGAGCGAAACGTGACGATCTAGTTTTTTTTTTCGACTGGACAAGCAGTGATTCATATAATAATACAGCCGTGTGGTTTTTGTATATTATACAGCGTTCAAAATTCGCACACGGAACTCGGCAAATTGGTTTGGCGAATTATTTTATATATTATAATATATAGTATATTGTTATCCAAGAGCATCGCGGGTGAAAATACGTTGTGGCGTACGCGGATCACGACTCGGGACAGTCTTACCTATACTATTATATACATATAAATATAAGATATATAAGAATAGATACAAACACACACACGTAAACATTGCGGGATGAGTCGCACACATCCCACGCGCACTATACGGACGTACCCAACATAATGGAAAAAAAAAACCGACTCTAAAAGCGTATATATACCTACATCTTATTGTGTATTGTGTACGTCTGCTGTGTCTTCGCGTGCGCGTATATACAGATGTATATTGTTACAATTTTTTATGTGTACCTATATATAACACTCGTACCTACTCTACAAAACCTGTAACTGTAGCCTGCACGATATTAGGATGACGCGTAACGTGAAGGATAAAAACGGTTATTATTATTATTATTATTATTATAGTATACAGGGCAAAATCGTGTAAATGTGTATGTGTGTGTGTATGAGTTCTTATGAGTTCTATGAATCCGTGTCCAGTGTGTCCACCCAAAAAAATATTATATTATGTAGGTAGGTTACACATGCAATTTATTGCCGTTTTGGTAATGGATTCACACATGATGATGCCAGGTATTTCTATTATTATATATTTTAAAAACTATATATTATTATTATTATTATTACAGATGGGCTTCTACTGATATGAGTCGATAATACAAGTAGGTATATTTTATGCGACTTGCTGATCAACTATAGCAGAACATGTATTCGAAGTTTGTGTGATGAACACTGTATGCAGAATATTTCTCTCACTCTCGCTCCTTCTCTTCCCCTTTATGTACGACATTAGACATATATGTATAGTTAATAAACTATATATGGTTTAATTGTTGATTATATAAACCTAAAAAAAAATGGCTACATGCCGTCTGCTGTAATTATACGCATAACGTCTGAACTAATAACTCGGTTGTCACTTGTCGCTACTACATTTTAAACTATAACTAAATAGGTTTAACTAATTGTCGAATATAATAATTGTTTATACCTATTATATAACATAGTTCAAGTATAAATTAACAAAAAAAAAACTTTAGGTTAGGTTAGGTTATTAGGTAAATAAAAAATATTATACATGTTATATTATATAGAACCAGTTCGGTTACAGTATAACACTATACTGTTGCCAGTTGACGATGTGCAGCATTCATGATATAGTATAGAGAAAAAAAACCTAAGAAGTTTCTAGGTCAAATGTGTTCGGAAAAAAGAGAGAAACTAAAAGGAGAAAAACCACCATTATCATTATTATACGGATATTTTGTCTACGATCTTTTTACGCGCTTCGTACCTAGTCGACATTAAGTGCACTCCAACGTTGTCAGATCTAATGTATCGCGGGGGATCCGTTACACGTCAAAATTTAAGCACTCGCTAATTTTAAAATGTATATATGTACGCGTGCGCGTGTTAGTATGTGTACATGAGTACACCTTTATGCGTGTGTGTAAAAACTGTACACTTATGTGATTTCTATATCATAGCGTTTTATTTGCGCCGGCGGTCATGTAGAGATTTCATTCGGAGTAGAGTGAAAAAATGGCAACGACCTCGGAGGCACGAATAAATTCTTATATCGTGTCAGGGGTCGAATTTCTCCGACAAAGCCGATCGGTTTTAGCCGAAAACAGACTTTCGTAGTAGTTATAAATATATACGTGCGATTATAAAATTTACTATATATGGATATATTAATTATATATACACATATTCAATTTCAATACTATATTACGTGCATAAACTCGCTTCGATAATTAGCGATTATCTTCAACTGAGACCCGTTATTATGTCTACAATAATTTTTATTACATTAATTATGCAACAAACGACGAATAATTTATACTTATACATAAAAACTACTTACTTCAAAGCAAAAGCTTTAATCAGTTAAACGTTAGACAAATGTTTCAATTTAAACTAATTTGTTACCTATAGTATATTGAATCAGAAACTATATGAGTTATGTATTTAATTAATTATTGTATTAAATAAGGTATTTGAACAGTTAGAAACATAAAATTTATTTCTTTAAATGAATTAATAAGACTTACCTAGTTTAAAGAATACTTTTTTTAAACTTTATTTATAAAACAAACAACCTATGATTAATAATATCAATAAACATGTGTATGGACTTACATCATGACTTGAACTCGCTTGAAAAAAGAGGACACCAAATGATGATACATTAAAAAAGAATTTGGCTAGGTTTGATTATAATTTAAAATTATTAATATTTAAGTAAGATTTAAATTTCTATGCCATTAAGTATTTTACGTAAATAAATAAATTGATTATTGAAATATTACAAACATTTTTTTTTTTTTTTAGAATAATGTATTATGTTACATAGTGCTACATAATATTAAATTCAATTAAACCAGGTTTATGATTTAAGGACATGTCAGGCATTAATATATTAACATTCTTACACAGAGTGATGTATTCGCACTAACCTACCCTCGGACTTTAGTCATTTACTCATAAATATGACTAAATTAAATTCCTAATACACTCATTCGTAGGATAACTTTTTCTATAAAATCGAATTCACATTAAAATACTATAAAAATAGGTTATAATAATATGGTAATACGCAATAGTTATCAGAATTGCAGACGACGCGACGTCGTTAAATACATGTGATATTGTCAATAATAATTTTGTCGGTCGACAACGCGTTACCGGCGGCCATAGAGCTGCAGCAGTAGCGTAATCATAAAGGTTGAAAAACAAGAACGCGACGGGAAAAGTCTGGTACCCATATTTAATATTATATACTTACACTCGATTCGTTATTTTTTCTTTATGGCATTAGATCTATACCTACTCGTTATATAGATACAGTTACAAAAGGAATATAATGATTATATATATTATATATATATACATATATGAATTAAATATAAACCGCGGAGTCATTAAAAACTAATGTCCGAATACGACTTAAAAAATACAACAATGATTTATACAAGATGAGCCTCGACGAAATGTCGTATACTACGTATATAATATAAACAAGACCACGGCGGAGAAAGAAATTCCGACGAGGTTATAAAGGTGCGTAGAAACCGGTGCCCCGAGGGGTAGCACATTCGGTTCTAACCTGGATACACTCACACACACACACATATGCTCACACTGTATATAAACGTGCATAGCATATGCAGCATCCGAGAGTATCCTGAAACAGAGATTATATGTAATGCATGTTATGATTTCTTGAGATCGTAAAAAAAGCCGTTGATATGTGTTCGTGTGCGCGTACGTGGTGTTTCTTCGATACATTGTCCGCATACTAAAGCTCGTGGGCGTAGGTATAAGGTATAGGTACTTATATACGAGACCCGTGAATAAAAACAGACAATGGACAATCGTAAAAAAAGACAAAAAAATAACACTAAGGTGCGCATAATATTATAATGATCGAAGCATTTTTATGGAGAGAAAATACCGCACGCGCGTTATTACTTATTAGCTTCCGCCATGGTCCCGGAAGTGTGCAACTGCATGATAACGAGACCTATACTACGCCATTTATATATGTATATATATCTCGTTAAAAGCCTGCACGGTGTATTCTTTAATATAATACCTGCTGTTACTGTGCGCATCACAGCCACGACCAGAAATATGATAATATAAAAATAAAATAGCGCGTCATATACAACTTATGAGTGGTGTTCGCACGAAACGTACGAATCGTGACTTATACCTGCGCGCGTATTACAAATATTGGCCGTCCGTCAATGACAGCCGCAAGAGCACAGCCATTGAAACGGTGCGATCTGAATAAAGAGCAAAATAAAGAGTTGACCGAAAACTGCGTTGCAATAATAATATATATTATTATTTATTATTATTATCACACACATCGTAGTGTTTGTAGACAAGTGCGTGGCGTGTAACAGGTTTCGTTTATTGACGCTGTCATTAGCGTCACGGTGAGGGGGCCGTCACTGGCTGTACAGCTAATAATTTTAGAGGGGCCCAAAACGTTATTACTTTGGAGAAGGAGAATGGCAGCGTAACTATCATCATCTTATATATGTATCTACTTAAATGTCCATCGGCGACGGACATGAAATTTTTTTTTTGTCACGACCCACATAATATGAGCGATTTCCGAAAAAAACGTGTATTGTAAGATGTTCAATTTATATATTATAAGCCGACACGAGAGGTGAGAAAAATATATGCAATAATATTATTAAATAATAGGTATGTATATGCGTGCATGTACGTGGGTACGTGCTGCAGTTGTATTATTATTTTGTGACAAGTCACGCGTTTAAATTATAATCATAATAGACTATATGGTCGCATACCAAAACTATATTACTTATAGGAATATATAACTGCCGATAGAATAAAAACTAATTTATCGATAGGTCACTATCGTGCAGAAGGCAGTTCTCGGCAAATTCCTGTCAAATCGGAAACTGAGGGTAACCGAAAGATTGAGTAAAGAAAATGTCCGCGGCGACTTAAACGGTAGCAAAGAATCATTAGTGACTTTAACGGTGGTAGACTGTAGACTTTTAAAATGGAGCTATAAAGATCTCTCCATGCGGGTAAATCACATTGAATTTCAAAGAGAGATTTCAACTACGTCATTAAGCGTGATAATAATAATAATTATTATATTTCTGATAAATTGAGTATATTACGTACCGTGAACCAGGAGACGGCGAGTGCGTTTGAGACACGTCGACAAGTGTAATCCAAAACTCAGTTAAATAAAATTTGAAAAATATTTATTCTTACGTCGGACCCGACACTATCACAACGTAATGGTATTTATTGATATATTTACTACGTGAAAATGTGCGTCGACAGAGGATTTCTTGGGCCGCGTCTTGTTGCAAAGTAAGCGACGACACTGTTTTAGTAGTAGTAGTAATAGTAGTAGTAGTAGTAGTAGTAGTAGTAGGTAGTAGTAGTAGTAGTAGTAGTGTAGACAAAACGAAAAATAAAATTAAATTAAACAACAAAATTAAAACGAAAAGTTCCGAGCAAAATTTGAACACACGTGGCGCGCGCGCACACACTCGACCACGCGAACGCGGACGACGACAGCGGTTGCAGGTTGGCGGCCGGCGAGACCGTAATCACACACTGCACGCACGCACCCAATCCTCGACCGGTGGCGCGGAGCCGCCGCCGCCACGTGAAACCCGCCGCGAGTCCATCCGCGTTCTCCCCACCTGACGACCAATCGTCGTTACCCAAAGACCTAATTCCACCGCCGCCGCCGCCGCCTCGGTGTAGAATCATCGCCGACGCACGCACGCACCTGCATTCTCTCATGGCGCCGCACGCACACTACCGTCGTGTTCCGTTAAATCTTCTCAGCTGCTACTTCGGCTTCAGGTCACCGCGCGCGCGCACACAATATCATTGTTTGTTTGTTATTACACACAATATCGTCGAATCAACGGAGCACTTATACGCGCGTGAGTGTGTGTGTGCGCGTGAATCGAAACCGCGGTGCTGCCTGTCATGTGGCAAGCCGCGTTTTATAATGTTTTTAAACTCATTTTTCGGTCCCCGTCATAATGCGATGTGTTTTATATATAATGTTAGGAATCTGTACGGTAAATCGCGTATGCTAAGCATGGTAGGTATAATATGCAAAATGCAAACCGCAACATATCAATATTACACACCTAAATACGAATAAAAATAAATGCATTGCGTTGCGTGTGGCGTCTATCGGCTGAGCGTGTGCAACTGATGTTTTGTTTGTTTATCTGTGCAGTTCACGACGCACGGGGCCGTGCTGGCATCAAGTGCGTACACAGGCGCTCGTGTAGTGATGTTCAGTCTTAAAAGTCGAAAAGTATCGATGTTTTCGCGTCTAAGACAATTTTTATAGTACGTTACAAATCACCGATTTAATATTATATAATAGTATATTGTCGATCCTGAGAAACAAACAATCGTTCACAGCTTTATCATAATATCATAGCGATATCGTTGACTCGGTCATTATGGGTACGTGAGCCGTCGTCTATTATTTCAATTTATTACAACATTACATCTACTATTAAACTTAATAACTAAAATTATTATTATTATTTTTCATAGTAATACATATGGATATTTTATAGTTATTTTACTTGATCAATTCTCAAGTCTAAGTTACTTGTCAATTTATACATATATACGTATATTTATTATATTGTACTATCATTATAAATACCAATTAGTATGACTTAAGTTTAATTGCTCACAGAATTTGGTAGTCATAAATCTAACATAGGCACTATATAAATATTTTAGAAGCGTAAATATAATAACCAAATTTAAACGTGACCTTATACTATAGACAACATGGGTCAATCATATCCAACTATTTATTTAAACTTATCTGAAATAAGATATTAAATAAATAAAATTGACAATAATGTTTTCTCGAGGAAAATTAAAACGATATAAATAACATGTTATAAGATTTCTAATATTTTTAATTTCAGATAGTAGCCCAATAAGAATTATATTGAAGAGATCTTATAATTCTTTAAGAAGACTACAATATATTAATATTCAAATTATTTTCCATCTTATTAACGCATTGAGTATAACAAATTTCACGTTCAGAGAAATCTTTACTCTGGTACTAATTAGAGTGAATTCACTTATCAAATATAAAGGCAAATATTATCTGGGACCTCAAATTGGATTTTTATATTTAGCAATACGTAACTGAACGAAGCAATACCGTTA